TTGCTAAGGGGCTATTGACAAAATGCCCATGGATTGTTTTTTTAAAACTGGTGGAGGTGAAATTGGGAGAAGAGGAGGCAAGTCATGGATTCCCATGGCTGCTGTGTGAGGAAGGGCCCAGCACTTTTCTGAGGGTCATTCCCCAGTGAGCAGGGGCCTGCTCGGCCTGCTCCCTATGACTTCTGGGAATTAGAGGTCCAGGGCCTTCTTTAAACTTGCCCTGGGCCATGAACAAGGGTAGGGCAGAGAATTCTAGGCCTCCGACATCCAGGCCGGTGCCCCTCATGCCCATGCACAGTGTCCAGCCTTGAAACCAACAAGCAGTCTCTGAGGGCCTTCTAGAGGCCAAGGTCATCAGAGTGTCCAATGACCTCCTGTGTCCTGAGACTCAAGCAACAGTGGGAAGATTTGACACATGAACGAACTGTCTAGCAGAGGATACTCAACTCACCAATGTCACAGGTAAGGAAGGGACAGTCTCCAAAGGCCGAGGCACTTTGCCCCACTCAGAACCTACATGGAGTGGCTGGCTGAGTTTAAGGTTCATAGATCTCCTCACCTCTTGTGGTTCTCTTCTGGTCGAGAGTCTGTGGGTGGGGCCTGGAGGGGTCAGGCAGCCCCTTATGGCTTTACCATCAGAGCACTGCACAAAGATGCTGAAATCCAGCTAGCGGTCACTGGGCCCTATGCCTCGATGACAAGGACACTATGTCCCCAGGAGGAGGAAAAGATGGCAAATAGTTTTCACCTTCTGGGACAACTCCACCCTAAGTGGTGAAGGCAAGCGCTGTGTTGAGAGGGACTCTGAAGTCATGGAGGGGGAAGAGTTCAGCACTCGGTGATTTCTGTCCTGGGTGGGGGAGGGGGCAGTGGCGCGTGCAGGGAGAGTATTTGCCATTTTGCTATCACTGCTGTAAGCTGACACCTTCTGTGTCAACACACAGCCCAAAGGAACCCAATGCCTAGCCTTGGCCCAGAGGAGAGGCCAAACTCAACCTTCCCAGGATGCACTTGGCTGTTTATTCCTGCAGCATGGAGTGTGGGCAGGTTCAAGAGGGTGAAGGATTCTTTCGCATTGTAAGTCACCGCAGGATGTGTTTTAAAGACATAAGCAGCGGCAGTTAGCACAGCTTTGTGAAGCCTCCTCTTCTTCCTCTGCTCGTGTCTGGTGTCTTTCAAGCCCAGACCGAAGGCTGAATCCCCCATGAAGATGTCCGCTTGCTCTTCCTTCCAGACTTTCTCTTGCTTCTCTGAGCTCAAAGCTCTTGTCTGAAACACCCCCAAACATCCATCAGACTGTTGTCTGGGACTTTAGGAAGAGACACTTCCCTACATGGGCCCTTTTCCTCCCAACCACCACTCCAGGTAAATTGAGTATTTCTCTTGTTGAAATTATGAAAACCCTGCTTCCCTTTCAAATGACTGCTTGATCACAGTTAGCAAGGCCCCTTCCTTCTGTTCATGTCCTTACTTGACCATGTCCGTCAGTGATTGAGAAAATGGAGGTTTACAGAGAGGGCAGGGCTTGCCCAAGGCCACTGGGCCAGCTTTCTTTTCTCCAAATCCTGTCTTCTCACCATTGCCCCATTCTCGGGACCATGAGGCGGGGGGAGTTACAGGAAAGGGAAGGGGCAGGGGCCCAAGCCTCTCCTGGAAGCTCTCCCTTCCCTGTGTTTCCGGGGCCAGAGCTGCCACACCAGTGAACTGCCAGAAGAGGACCAGGGAGGGGAGAGTGAGGATGTGGAGCTGATCAAGAGCAGGTGGCTTAGCCATTCGGCTTCCTGGGTGACCTTGAGCAAGTCCCTTTCCTTCACTGGGCCATGGTGCCTCCCTCCTCTGGGAAGAGAAGGCTTGGGCTAGGGCCTCTGGCATTTTAAAAGCAAGGTTTCTTGGGGCACCTGGGTGGCTTAGTCTGTTAAGCGTCCGACTTTCGCTCAGGTCATGATCTCGCGGTTCGTGGGTTCGAGCCCCGCATCGGGCTCTGTGCTGACAGCTCGGAGCCTGGGGCCTGTCTCAGTCTGTGACTCCCTCTCTCTCTGACCCTCCCCTGCTCACGCTGTCTCTCTCTCTCTCTCTCCTAGAAATAAATAAAACATTAAAAAAATTTTTTAAAAAGCAAGGTTTCTTAATGTGCACATGATGGGGATGGGGGGGGGGGGCTGTGCACAGAGCTTAAGCCTGGGTGTGTCTTCTAAGCCTACTACCCAGGCCCCTGACACCCATCTGGTCATTCGCACCCATCACCCCATCACCTCCCATCCCACAGGAAGGTTTCAGGGAACCTTGAGGGACTGGTTGAGGGGCTGACCTCAGGTCAGTCAGCTGCTACCCGAGCAAACTGTCAGTTGTTCAAATGTATTCATTACTTACTGGGTACAGAGCCCACGTGTCAGGCAGGTGTGCTGCAGGCAAGAGGAGGAAGCAAAGTGTAAAGCCAGGAAAGCCATGCAGGCTCCAAAGAGGAGCATAATCTGGCCACCTCTCTAACCCTCCGTCCAGCCATCCATGTAGCTAACAGTTCTGGACCATCTCCTTTTTATGCAGCAGGAACTATGGGTCAGGGGTGGGGAGGCCACCAGCACGGTTGCCACGTATGACAAGAACCCTCACAGCATGAAATCACTAAGGGACAGGGAACCCCAGAGCAGATGTCTCTCTCAAGGCAGTTGACGGAGACAGTTTCAGGCCGAGTGACAGAAAGGTTTTGTGTAGCTTAGCACTGAGCTTCTCCACAGGCCCCACTGCTTCTACTTATCGCCTTCTACCTGGTGGGACCTGCCTGACCCCTAGAGCAGTGTGAATTTGCACCCCACACGAGGGGAAAATGCCAGCATCGCGACATAACAGGACTACTTAACCCAGGAGGAGAGTGGGGGGCAGAGACAGAGAGCTCTGGGCCGGGCCTGGGTAGGCTCATCTGGCTCTCCAACTGCTTGCTTGTGCAATGGGAAGATGTCCCTCTCTCTGGACATGTCTCTAAAATGTCCAGGGAAAATCTAAATCGGTGGTTTCAAATCCTATTCCCCCTCTTCCCATCTCGGAACCTCTAAGACAGTAGCAGGGTTGCAGAGATGATCCCAAATATTTCCAGTAGTAAAATGGTTATCACACTTATTTCTAATAAATGTGTACCCTCTGTTTAAATAAATAGATTTAATACTTATTTAAAATATAAAGCATATGGGATACATAGGTCTCTGATAAATAAAAATACATTAAGATATAACAGGCATATGCACTCTCATTTGTATTAGTAATTGCAAATTGATAGAATCTTTGAAAACATCATAGATGATCTGAGACAGAAACTTGGAAGGGGTTTTGGTTGGTGGGAAAGGGGTGCACAACCCTGAAGGCCTTTCAGGTCCAAGCACCCACTCGCAGAGGTTGTCGGGGCAGGTAGTGGGAGAACTCTTCAAGGAGGCGAGTGGCGGAGAGCTTTTATGGCACGTCTTCCGCTTAGCAAATGCACACTAGTCAGCGCACAAACAGCTCCCAAACCCAGAGGTAGGACGCTTACGGTCCTCATTTTACAGAAGAGAAAATAGGCTTGCTCGCAGAGGTTAGGTGCCATCCCGAGGTTACTGAGCTGGGAGGCGGCCAGCCTGACACTTGAACGCCAAGTGGAATGGCTCCAGAGCTAGGGATGAGATGGTAGAAGTGCCTCGGTCCCCCTCCAGGCGCCTCGCCGCAGGGTTCCCAGCGATGGCACAGCGCAGGCGCCGGGTGACTACCCCAGACTGAGAGGGTGAAGGCCCCTGGGCTTCGGGGTGTGTCAGGCGGAGGAGGGGACAGGGCGGAGGCTCCCCTAGGCATACTTGGAATAGCTGGGTCATCCTGGACCATGAGTGACAGTCGTCTTCCCAAGCTCCCCCAGCCCCATCTGGGGTCCTGGCGTCCCGCCGAAGCAATGGGTTGGGCTGGAGCCGGGGGTCGGGGCGGAGGAAAAGGCCGGCCCAGAGCAGAAATAGGAGAAGGGAGAGGGGGAGGGGGGAACGCGAGGGAAGGAGGCGGGGAGTCCTTCCTGGGGCAGGAACCCGGGCCCCCCTAGGCGGAGCCGGCCCGCGAAGCGATTCCGCAGATGGAAGGAATTAAGTGGGAGGGGGAGGGTCCTACGGTGATAGCGAGCGGAGGGAGGGTGGGCGGCGTGTGTGTGTGCCCGCGTGTCTGGGAGCGGAGGGAGAGAGAAACACATCAGACTAGACGGAAATAGAAAAGACGACACACACACGCGCGCGCGCGCACACACACTTAGACAAACAGAACCACAGAGAAAGGCGACGAGCCGGACAGAGACTGGGGCGCACGAGGTATTCGTCTGAGAGAGCGCGGAGAGAGTATGAGAAAGAAAGGAAAACAGGACAGGAGAAACGAGTACAAGTGAAGTAACTGCAGAAGATTTGGAAAGAGCGAGAGACCGAAGAGCGCCCAGCAGAGCGAGAGCAGCCGGATCAGGCCGGGGGTGCCCTGAGCTCCCGAAGGCTCCGGGCGCCGAGCGGGCGGGGCCTGGGAGGGCGCCGCCCACGGGCGGGCCAGCGGGGCACTGCAAACGCCGGGAAGCCTGGTTTCCCCCCTCGCCCTGCCCCGCTACTCCATATTCAATGAGACGGCCAATGGAAGGCGAGGACGGGGCAGAAGGGGCGGGGCCTCCGTGGGCCCCACCTCCGGAGCGGCCGCCAGAGGGGTCAGCACTGAGGCAGATAGCGGATCGCCGGGCGGGGCGGGGCGGGCGGCGCGGAGGGGGCGGGCCCAAAAGTTTCCTGCCCAACTTTCGCTGCCTCCTTCCTCCGCCCGCGCGCGCTGCGGCTGCAGTCGGGGGGAGGCGGCGGCGGCGGCGGCGGCGGCTGCGGGCAGCGCGCTGGGCGCACGGCACTGGGTGATCGCCGTCGGGGCTCCGGCGGTGGGCAGTGGGCGCAGGCTCCCCGGTGCCCGCCCCTCCGCTGCGGGGGAGGGGGGGCGCGAGCGGGCGGCCGGGGAGGGGCCGGCACCGCCGCCGCAAAATGAGCCTGCTGTCGGCCATCGACACGAGCGCCGCTTCGGTGTACCAGCCCGCCCAGCTGCTCAACTGGGTCTACCTGTCGCTGCAGGACACGCACCAGGCTAGTGCCTTCGATGCCTTCCGGCCGGAGCCGCCCGCCGGCGCCGCGCCCCCAGAGCTGGCCTTCGGGAAGGGCCGCCCGGAGCAGCTGGGCTCGCCCCTGCACTCCAGCTATCTCAACAGCTTCTTCCAGCTGCAGCGCGGAGAGGTGGGTGCTCCCGCGCGCCCCCGCCCTCCGTCGACCGCGCGGGGCCTTTTCCTATCCTATCCAGGCTCTTCCTGGCCTGGCCCGGCCCGGCTCCGTATTGCCCGGCCCTGCTTGGCTTGGCTTCGCTCAGCTCTGCCAAACTCGCCGCCCGATGTCCCCGGGGCGCCGAGAGCGCGTCACCTCCCGGCTGAGCCCGGCTCGGAACAGTTCAGGCGCGGGCGGGGCCCTCTTGCCCCATCTCCCAGCCTGGAGCGCCCTGTTCAGAGGCCCGGGGGGAGTCCCGGCTGGGCGGGGGGCTCCGGATTCTCTCCAGACAGCCGGGGCGCGGCCGGGGCGGAGAGCCCCTTCCAAGTGTCCTTCCCACGCCCAACCCCATCCCCCTCTTGGCCACCGCTTGCTGGGATGAGGAGTGCAGATTCTGCTCTGAGCTCCTCCGCAGGGGCCTAAAAATCTTTTCTCCTCCGACCTCGGTGGTGGCCGACCAGAGGGCACCCTGGAGAGCAGGGCTTCTCCTGCTTTTCTTACACGGGGACCCCCAGATATATCCTCCAGCTGCTTGCCCTCCCCCAGCCACATAGGAAGTGGTTTTTGAGGGCTTGACCCCACAGACTGCGCTGTCCCCCGCCCTCCCAGCCTGGAAGGAAATGAAAGGGAAATCCTCTTGAGCTCTTGGAGGGGGCTAGCCAGGGGGAGAGGTTTCAGCTGCCCAGTGCCTTCTCCAGAAACCTGGGACGGCTGCTTTGCAAAGGCTGCCTGTTGGGTGGATTCAGTTACAAAGTGGAAGGGGCAGGGCATCGTCCCCAGCCAGATAAATACACAGATCGCCTGGACCCACGAGTCCCTTTTCAGAGGTCATCTCCGGAACTTTCTTAGATACCCCTCCTCTGCCCCTTCAGCGGGGCTCCTCCTCCTCCCCCAGTCCCATTTCCTTGTGCCTCTTTTGGGAATTGCCGATACCCCTCTGTAGCCTTCACTCATCCTTCTTCTGGCAGCTCTCCCTGCAAAAGTGCAGGGGGAAGGGGTGGAGGAGAGGACACACTTGAGGGTTCCTTTTCTTTCTAGACCCGAGCACTGCAGTTAGTTTTAGGAGCGGCAGGGTTCTGAATGGGTGGGGGAGAAGGGCCTGTGTGTGAGTGAGTGTGCTGGGGATCAGAGGGTCTCCCTTTGTGGTCTTCTAATGTGCTCAACTCTGCCAGTACTGACTAGGGAGGAAACAGGCAAATAAAACACTGGCCTAAGGCCTAGAGGTGGGCCAATACCAGGCGAGCCGAGAGAAGGATTGGTTGGCCTGTGTTGGGCCCGTTGGGCATAGTCAGGGGAGATGAGTCTGAAGAGGCAGCCCTTGGTGCCAGGCAAAAGCATTTGTATACCAGAGCTCTTTGTAAACTGTAAGCACGCTCTCCACGGGAGGAATCATTCTTGGCTGGGAGTCTTTCTTTCTCATAAGAGACCTTGTCATCTCTTCAGGGAACTGGCTTCGGTGACCAGTGGCTTTGGGGTACAGGGTGCGGGTGTTTCTTCAGTGCCTGGGCCTTTTTAGTTGTAATTTTACCAGACATTTGTTGAGCGATGTGTGGGCCCTTTAGGAATCAGGAACGGGCTGGGGGGTGGGGGGAGGAGCAGATTAGAAGACAGCTGAGATGATTCAGTTTGAAAGGCAGGCGATTTCATGGGGATGCTGTGGGAATCCCAAGGGAGAAGGGTGATTCTGACCCACAGGACCATGACCTCTCACCTCTCACAGGTCAAGCGGGGGTCCCTAGTCAGCCTCAAAAGGCCTCCCTCTGTTCCTACTGTTGGTGGCTTTCTTCCCCAAATGTGGGTCCCTGCTGAGAGGCCTGGGAGTTTGGGGGCCATCCGCAGTCTCTTGCAGGAGTAGGACATTTCCTTTGGAAATGTCTAAACATCCAAGATCCCAGCTGGATGTGAGTGACACTGCTCTCCAGTCCCTTCATTACTACTCACCTCAGGCTCCCCGTGAAGCGGTCCGTTCCTTCTCTGGCGCCAGTGTGAGAGGAGCTGGTAAAAGTTACGCAGAGCAGTGGTGGGAAAAAGCCTCTTATGACCTGACTTTGGGGAACCTTCTGTCTTGGTCTGGGCCTCGGTTTACCCATCCATTGAATTTAGTCTCTGCTGTCCCTTAGGGTGGTATGCATGGGATTTGAGAGATATGCAAATGGACAGCCTTCCTTAGGGGAGGTGAGAGGGGCTTCTCCTACACTCGAAGGCCAGTGGCTCCCTCGGAGGGGCTGGAGGGGCTGTGCCTGCTGACTTCCGGATGGCTTTCTTGGCTTCAGACTCACTGGCTCTCACCCCTCACCCGCTTTGCCGCCTAAACCCTCTTGGAGCCCCAGCTGTGCTGCTGGGCTTTCCTGCGTCCAGGGCTTAGCCAGTGACCTAATATGGCTCCAAAATAGCAACTGGGAGAGAAGGCATGAAAAAAATACCCCCCACCTGAACGCCACCAAGGGGCTGATTGGAGAAGAAGCAAATCATGGGTAGGCCAGAGGGGACTCTCCGAAGGGACCCAGGGACTCAGGAGCATCGCCATTCTGTGCAAGGCCTGGCAGGCCTGGTGGCGGTGCCTGCGGATGTGACTTGCATGCTGACCGCTGACCACGGCCTGTCTGCACCGGCCCCTGTGCCAAGAGCCCACCCCCTCCAGCACCACCCCCAGGCTGCTCCCACCACAATAGCAAAACACCATGAATGCAGCTGGGATTTGGGCGGGGGGGTTGAGGACATGGGGGCACAGAAGCCCATTGTGCCCCTGGAACCTCAGCTCTGGAAGCTGAAGATAAGCCAAGGGTTCCGAGTGGAACAGTGGCCCTGGGAGCAGAGAGAGATGGCAGAGTTCATGTACAAGTGCAGGAATGGGCCCCAGGAGGTGACCTGGGGGAGGGAGGCTCTTCAGCATCTCAGCTCGTAGTATGGATGCCAGGCCAAAGCAGGCACCGGCACTTTGGGGCAATTTTTTTTAAAAGGCCCCAGTCCAGAGTCTGGGCCCAGTGAGCTTCCGTTCCAAACCCTGATCTGTAATGACAACTATATGTCTTTGCAGGGAGACCCCTGAGGCTCTTGTCTGAGCCTCTCCTCTCTTACCTGAGGAAGGCCGTTCTTAGAGGGAGTGGGGGATGGGTGGCGTTGGTGGAGGCGTGGGGGGTGGGGGGGTGTCTTCCTTGCCAGGTATAGCTTGGAATTTAAATTCACAGTGGTGTGGGGGCCATGGGATCCCAGCTCCAGAAATGGGGAGGTACCCCTCCTTGTTGAGCGTTAGCTCTTGGTCCCCATAGAGGGACGTCCTAAACCCCTCCTGGGTCATCCCTGCACCCCCTCAAGAGGAGATATGGCGGCCCCCCTCCAGGTCAGAGTCCTAGGGCAGCTGTTATCTCTCCCTCTTTCTCCAGGGACACATAGATGTGGCCCTACAGTCAAATGATGGTTGGTGGAGGCCAGGGGGAGGGCTTTGGGTTCAACTACGTTTGGAAAGCAGAGTGGACTGTTCTTCCCTTGGAGGTACACAGTGTCCCCCGAGCACCATGAAGGCTCTGAGCAAGCCCTGCGGTGTGAGACTTGTTCCCCTTCCTTCAGGCCAACAAACAGTCCCATCACTGTTTGACCAGAGAATGTTTTTGGCCTAGAACGTCTGACAGCGTCCTTCTGAACACCTCCAGGCCCAGAGACTGCTCTGTTGAGGGACATCTCTTCCAACCTTTAGGAGGTTTTGGCTGTTAACCCAGGCCTTCCTCCTCCCCCCCACCCCGGGTCCCAGCACTATCTTCTGCAGCACTAAAGACCCCCTCCCCTCCCCCAGCTGCTGTTCACTGTCCTGGTCTGTCATCTGTCCGCTGGAGGTTGGAGGTCGGCAGTAAAGTGATCACAAGACTCTATGGACAGGCTTAGACCGTCAGAGGAGCGACTGAGGTGTCTTGCTTTAAAATTTTTTTTTAATGTTTTATTTATTTCTGAGAGAGAGAGAGAGACAGCATGAGCAGGGGAGGGTCAGAGAGAGAGGGAGACACAGAATCTGAAACAGACTCCAGGTTCTGAGCTGGCTGTCAGCACAGAGCCTGATGCAGGGCTCGAACCCATGAACCATGAGATCATGACCTGAGCCGAAGTTGGACGCTTAACCGACGGAGCCACCCAGGCGCCCCTGAGGTGTCCTGCTTTAAAGGACCCCCAGTCTTGACAGTCTTCTGAAGGTTCTGTGTGTCACCTGTGCCGCCCGCAGGTGTGGATGAGCCCAGGCTCCCTGACCAGTGTGGATGTACAGAAGAAAGCCACCTATCTGTGTGAGGATGGAGGTTTGCCTCCGTGGGGCCGAGAGTGGGCTCCTGGAGCTGCAGTTTGTTCCTGTGAACAATTTGTGGCCTTTGTGTGCGTCTGGTGGGGGGAGGGGGCAGTGCCAAGGCCTGGGAGGGGTGGCCATTCCAGCCCAGCAGAGCTTGGGAGGGTGCCTGGCTCCCTTGGCCAGCCCTGGGAAGCTGAGCTCTGACTCAGGCAAGGAGGACCGTCATTCGAGGGCCTGTAGGCTGAGATGGCCTGTGGCCCTCCCTCCATCAAATTCAGTTGACTGGGCAGGCCCGGGCTCAGAGGGGAGACCACACCTCACGGACCTTCTGAGTCAGGTGGGAGGGAGGAAAGCAGGCAGGATTAGTAATTTGTAATTAGCAGCGGCAGAGGGCCAGGCTCTGTCTGCGCCCAAAAGGGGTGCCTTCCCGAGAAATGGCCCCGAGCAACAAGCCCGTACTCTCAGGAGAGTGCTTTCTTCTTGGCATCTCTTCTTTCATAGCTCCCATTTTACAGAAGAGAAAACAGGCCCGGCGAGTCACCCAGCGTGTCAGCGGCAGAGCTGCGTCTGGAACTCCTCCATACTCCAGCTGCGATTGTCCCTTGTGGCTTGTCCTGCTGGCTGTCACCTGGATCATTCTCTGGGTCCCGGTGCAGGGCAGCCAGTCTCCAGAGGCGTTCTGTCAGGCTGCAGTTCTCTGACATTT